TCATCCTTATGGGATTCTGACCAAAGCTTGTCACAGACATTACATTAAGACACCAGGGAACTAGCTTAACTTGTTGAAATACGGTATAATATGTCTCTTTTAAAGAGAAAATATGCCGGGACACAGTTTGCTGTAATTCATGCCTCTGTTCCCTCGCCTGCTCTCTGAGTCAGAGTTTCTCCACCATCAAATTAAGCCACGGTTAGCTCGGTGAAAATAAAATAACATGTTATTTAGGGATGATGTGTCTTGTGGAGGTGACACGGAAAGAGGAAGAACGTCTCAAGAACCAGCTATGAATGACTGTACTGGAAAACTAGCTACCAACTAGTTACAAATATTGCACATTACAATGGATCCCCTTTATATTTATTATAATACACAATGCTACTATCACTGTCAGAATCCTCAAAATAGCACAACAATACCGCTTTCTTATGTTGAATGTATGTCTGCTGTTGTCCATTCTTGCTCTTTATTTGTCTGTATGGTATTGTTTAGGTCAGTGTTTTTCAACCTTTTTTGAGCCAAGGTACATTTTTTCATTGAAAAAATCACGAGGCACACCACCAACCAAAAATGTCAAACGAATCTGTAGCCGCCTATAGTAACACTATAGTTATTCTGATTTTATTCTTATCTTAAGTGTCTTGAATAGGAATCAAATAAACACAAAAATGTATTTTTATCATATTTTATATTTCTTCTTTCAAATTGCTCTTAACATGTCCACTTCAATATGCAAAATTATATACAAAATCTAGTCATAAGGAATTATTACATGATTACGCCACCAGTCACTAGAACAGCACAGACACTCAAAAATGGCATATTATTTACAGATAATTAATTCCTTATCAAAAAATCTTTTTAGACCAATTAGGTGAAATAGGAAGATTTTCTACGGCACACCTGACCATCACTAACGGCACACTAGTGTACCGAGGACCAGGGGTTGAAAAACACTGGTTTAGGTACTCTAGGTGTAATGTGTGTGTACTGTCTTTGTCTAAATGTCCATGTCCACACCTAAAGTCTATGTCTATGTCTGCATGGGAAAGTAAGAAACGCAATTTCAATTATTCGTATGATCAGCGCATGTAAAGAAATTGACAATAAAGCCTTCTTGACTGTCACGTCTGGGGGAATGTCTGGTGTCTCCTCATGTGTTGATTACCTATTGTGTTCACCTGGGGTTCCCCTCCCTCATGTGTTTAAATAGTCCTCGTTTCCCATGTCCTGTGCTAGTGTGTTTTTGTCTTTCGTCTTTTTGTCCTCCGTCACTTTTCGTCACCCCTCGCCACGTCAGGTTTGATTCTATCACAGCTTAGTTTACTTTATTGCCATAGTCTTGTTTTTGTACCATAGCCATGTTTTGGCCATAGCCTTGTTTACCTTATTTGATACTTTGTTCATGTTTTTGTCACAGCCATGTTTTTGTCACAGCCATGTTTTTGTCACAGCCATGTTTTTGTCACAGCCATGTTTTTTCACAGTCATGTAATCTTGCTCTGTTACTTTGTTCATAGTTTTTTCACAGCCTTGTTTTGTACCATGTCTACCATCCACTCCTTTTGAGTGTGTTTTTGTTAAAATAAACCCTTGTTTCCATATCTCCGCGACTGAGTCCTCCCTCCAAGATCCACCGTCGTGACATTGACTTGACTTGACTTAAAGACAGAGGCTCATCCTTATCTGGTGTTTGCCTCTATAATGTGTGCTTTGGATCTACTTATTTAAGATATTAAACTCTAAGACTATGCCTAGTAGGTTAGGTAGACAATCTATAGCAACACAGTTTAAGCACAATTCAAGTCTTCTTCTTATTTTATCCTTTTTGTCTTTAAAATGTTCTCTAAGGTTATGCTAATTTGATTTAAATATCTCGTCAGGCCCAAGTTCCAGTAAAAATGTCCCTGTTCCCAGTCTGTTATCAACAGAATTCTTGCTAAATATCAATCAGACATTTGCATTTCAGTTTCCCCTCATGTCTCTTTACAGGAAAGGCATCAACTTTTTAAAAGCTACCTGACAACCTCCTTTCCAGCAATATGCACCTGTTTTTAGCAGAACTAAGATCTAAAATCTAGCTCTAGGTAATGGAGCTGATGATGTTAAACAGAGAGATTACGAAGGTGAAAATTGAGTTAAGAAGGAGACATTGGCAATTGAAAACAATACAGTGAAATATCACATTTTTTAGGCAAAACAAATCGGCCTATTGAGGCAGAGTTCAGATCTCAGACTTCTGCCAAATACTAAACAATTACAGTGGACAGCTATTTAAAATCCATTTTCTTGTGTTGTTTTTACAGGCCACTGAAGTGGACACTGGTACCTCATGCAGGAAAAATAAAAAACTATCCACAATAATATATTGTTAAATTATATTATATTTTTAATTGCTAAATTAAATCAATGGGGTGGAATTCTGAGTGAGAAAATGGATGAGATAACAGTAAATATCAGAGATTTGGATGCAAACTTCTGTGATCATGGATTCTCTTAACAAATTTAAAAATATGTTTTCATTAGTCAGAAATCTTAAAATGGATGCTCTACCACCTGAATGGACATCTGGAAAAATCCAAGAATAAACACATCCACCTATTATTTTATGCCTCGGAGAAAATGACTGAAATTGAAAAAAAACAGAGCCAGATGTAGTCCCAGATGTTGTAACCCACAAAAAAATGAATTACCACCTAACTAGGTCCCTTTTTATTTCACGGTACGTTAACAGCGGAACGCACAAATGCAGCCTCCCTGCATAAGATAATATAATTATTATATAATATAATAAAATAAAATAAATAAATGAATAAAATAAAATAAATAAATGAATAAAATAAAAATAAATAGATTAAAAAATAAATAATAATAAAATAAAATAAAAATAAATAGATACAAAAAAATAAAAAAATAATAATAAAATAAAAAGTAAATAAAAAAACAAAACAAAATATCCATGTTCGGTTACTCGGACCCTCATAATTTGCCCCAGGAGTTTTTTTCTCTATCTCTGATAAATCTCGTGTATTTGGTGGTTAGGGAAGTTGCTTGGGGCACATGGTACCAACTCACTTCTCAGAGTACAATGGGACCAGTGTGATCTGGCTAATGAGACTCAGTGGCCAAATCCGGTCAGCCGGTAAAAGATGGACCTTGGCCTTTAGTTCTGGAAAGTAAAGCCATTATAAATATGTTTTTAACCTGGAATCTGCCTCATATAAACTGTGAGGTAACACCTTCCCAGTTTAAATGAACCTGTCACAGTTGATAATCAAACAAATAAATAATAAAGTAAATAATAATAATTATTGTTAAAGTATTTCTGATTCTGATTCTGATTCTATAAAAAGTAAATCAATAAAATCACCAATAGAACATTATTAAATGGAAACATTTTCGACTCAAATCATACCGCTCATAAATTCATACAAAAACAAACACAAAAACTGTTTATTTCTGCAATATTCAATATATATTTTCTACCCAGTCATTAAATAAAGAGTGGAAACACACCCACACACACACTCCAACAGAGCCCCATTGTAGTCGGGCCTCCTCAACACGTACGACACTATTGTTCCTCTAAAGGTGACTAATCTGAATGCCATTTTTAACTATCTGAAACCATTTTTAAAGGTCTTATTGAGACAGAGACATGGATTTGGTCGCAGTAAGCGCTGTGTGTTTGGGGATCAAATATTAGCAAGTGCTCTGTTCCACCATTTTGCAGTTTCAAATTAAAAAATTCAGGGAAAAAGGGAGAGTTAGCTGCCTAAACACTCCACAAAATGGAGCTTTCAATGATATTTTCAATGATGAAAGAGATAAATCTCTTAAATGAGCACAGAAGCTAAACATACTGGGAGTTCTGCATCTTTAGAGGAGCAAAAAAAGGAGCAAAAAGGATCTCTGTTCTAATGAAAGACCGTAATAGATGCTAATGTTAGTGGCCACCTGCTGAATTTCTGATTCTGATTCTGATAGGTTTATCTTTGGGGCAGACTTTGTGGGCGTGTGCACGAGCCTTTTCACAAAAAGATTTTATGCTATAGGAGTAAATTTTGTGCTATATAAATATATTAAAGATTCTAACGTTGGATTTGTGATGTTTTTGTCATGGAAAAACTGGCATTTTATGATGTGATTGTGAAACGTAACTACTGTTGTGGAAATTCTGAAGCAAGAGTCTGAGTCCGTTTAAGAGAGTATGAGATAGAAAATGTATTAAAGGGGACATATTATGCAAAACCAAGTTTTTAATCATGTGATTATGTACATTTGGGACTGTGGAGGGCCTATCAGCAGGTAGGTTGTGGTAGCGTTAGCATGGTAGCGTTAGCATGGTAGCGTTAGCATGGTAGGAACTTCAGGAAGTGAGAGCAACCATGCAACGTATCAAGCTGCTCCAAAGTAAAACAAAAATCATAGCACATTTTATACCCCTGAGCCCCAGAAGGGGGGTAAAATCTGTCTCCCATCATAGAGAAACCTGCACCAAACAATCCTCCAGCCAAAACATTCAGAGATAAAGTATAAGAGACCCTCTCTGAGATCTAGAAGGAGGAATGAGTCCTATGAGAAAGAAAAAGAACCTTTAACATATTCACTTGTGGAGAGTTACCAGAGAGAATAAAATAGAAAAGAAATAGAATAGAAAAGAAGAATAGAAAAGAAAATGATCATACATATATAGATTTTCCCCACAACTACTTTTTCTAAATCAGGTCTCGTTTGGAATAAAAATCAGGCAGTAAATTAATCCAAAGGGGTTTAACACATTTTACAGTATAGACCAAAATGAAGAGTTTAACATGTTTAACGTCCCACTGGTGAAGCTCTAAAATAAACAATTAATAAGCGTGTAACAATGTGAACTTTTTAGACCTAAACACACACGGATTACTGTAGAAAAGCGTGGAGTGACACTGTGTGGGCCTGAGTTATCCCAATTAACAGGAAATGTGTCACTTTAGACAAGTTTCTCTGGTCCACATTCCATAGTTAAAGCTATTTTTTTACCTCGTTATGCTAATAAAATGCATAAAAATGACATTTGCTCTTCTAACTCTGATCAAAATGTCTTTGCAGATACTGTTGAAGTCTCTCTCAGATTATAACATATCACACATTATCCTAAATGATAATTTGGTCATTGGTAAGGGGCTGATTCTAGTTATTCATACAAATGTATTTTTATTATCTTCCGGCTGCTTTTGAATTATTTAAAGGATTGTACAGAATGTATTTTATATTCGACAGTTGTCATGTTTTGTTGTGATTTAGATTTTTCCCTCAGTAATGCTCCACTTGAAAGAGCTCAGAACAAGGATTTCCCCCTTTTTTTTATTATTTAAATTAGTTTTCTTGATTTGATTGGTGAAGGGGTCATTCAGTCATTCAGGTTGAAAACCATGAACACAATAGTAACAGGAGATATTGCGTTATTTCAAGTTTAAACAAACACAAATCATTAAAATGTAAAAAAAAAAAACTCAACAGACTATATAAAAGAGCGATGGGAAAAGGAAGCAGACATGATAATTACGTCAGAGGCATGGATGCAAATTTGGAGGGGCTCCCTGTCGACCACAAATTCTTTGATATGGCGCGATTTCACGTGGAAGAATCTAGCCCGATTTTTCATCACGCCGAAGCAGAGATCTCAGATGGGTGGGTTACAGCTTCCGTGCTGGAGGGGGTGCGGCGTGACTGCGGTAGGTCACTACCATGTTTTTTGGGACTGTACGGAGTTACAGACTTTTTGGAA